TCTGATTTTATTCCCTCCCTGTATTAATTGATATCATCTCCCTGCATCAATTGATATCAGAGCTGTGCATCAAGTGGTATCATAGCATAAATTTGCATCAAGTGGTATTAAAGCAAGTTAGATCCAGAGTTTATAATGCCACCAAAAGCATCCAAAGTTTGCAATGCCGTGAATCAACTGAGCTCCTTGAAATAATGCTCTGCTCCAAACTCTGAAGCTTACGATCAACTGGATATGTTTCTATATAACGATAGCGCAGAAATTTAATAAAAGAAAATCACGATTCAAAGATATAGCTTGACACATTTTGTAATTTCTGAAATGTATAAGAAAGATGCTTCTAAAACTAAACAAGAACGTAGAACCACAGATCCCCACAAATCCAAGGAATGAAGTACTCCAACGAGCACCAGCAGGCTACACTGCCAGCTATTACCTGTATAGCTCTAATTCGTACATCTACAGACAATTTTGCGCACCATTCCAGAAAATTATAGGTGACAATCTAGATTATCAATCACCTTGCTTCCCTCTCTATCGAATTTGCAGGAATCACGAAGTTGCCATAATGAAAGTATAGACGCAATGCTCAGCTCACTGTAAATCAGTACGACTATGATTACTACTTAATCCCTTTAGATTTCTGATACTGAGATACCAATGAATGATGATCATCTAACACAGTCCAAACATGCTATGGAGATGTGTCCAACTGAATATTTCCATCTAGACCCTCCTAAATGGCTTTTAAAATGCACCAATCGCACCCCCGGAAGTTTGCAATTTCGTGAATCAAGCTAATCATACTTCAGCTATGAATGATCGTTGGGGAGAAATTTTGACTAAAGTCCTAGAGGATTTTCAAACTGAAGAGATGAATCAGAGGATGCAATGGTTGGATCAGATGTTGTAGCAGTTGGAGAATAACCTTCTTCACGGAGATGAATCAGAGGATGCAATGGTTGAATCAAATGTTGACTTTTGAGCCAAAGACGAACAAAAAAACAGATTCACCTTAGCACAATGGCTTATTGCTTGGCGGAGAATAATTTTTGAGCCAAAGACAAACAAGAAAACAGATTCACCTTAGCACAACGGCTTATTGCTTGGTGGCTTGACTTCCAACCAAACTGCCCTCATTCCAATTCAACCACATTGGTCACTAGAGGGACAAGAATATTGCATTTTGCTGTTCACAAAGGATGGGAGATGCAAGAGAGATGTGTAGTGAGACAGAGGCAGAGTTCAGCTAGGTTGTCATGGAGGATGAGAAAGAATGCAAGAGTTAGGGTTTGGGGGAAATTTTAGAGGGAGAAAGTAGGAGGTGAGGTTTGAGTAGTGTGGGAGAAAGGGGATTCCAGTGTAAAAGAAGGGGGAACTAGTATGAATATCTCCTAGAGTTTCATTCGATGTTCAACAAGATTTCTTTGAATTCTTCTATGAATAAAAGAGGGCTTCACTTTTAGATTCTGCTCTTTTTACTTGAGAGATATGTTGTTCCGGTTCGTCCTCTCTTGGCTATACTGGCACGGTCTAAACGAAAGCTGATTCAAATTGAAATCGGTCTAAAAAAAAGCAGATTCAAATTGAAATCGCTTGATCCCGATGGAAAATCATCGGGCTGACTATTTAAAGACCTTTTTACTCAATTTGAAGGGGGCATTTTGGATAGAAAAGGGGACAATTTTGTACATATGATGTACATAAAGGTGAGGAGGTGGTAATAGCCCTCTTTTTGGAGGTGAAGAGGTCCACGAGGTTAATGTAGGATCAGGGGTTTACACGGACCATGGGGATTATCTCATTTTGTCTAATAAAAATTGGAGTATATCTTCAGTTAAAATTTGTTCTCAGATTTCTAAATTTAATTTTAGTTATGCAAACTTGTTTTTAAAATAACGTTGTTAAAATTATTTTTTCATGAGTGAAAAGTTTTTCCAAATTTTTCTATTAAAGGTTTTGATATTTTTCCACTTTGGATATTTATCTACCTCGCCGATCCCAATTAGTTGAGAATGGCTTTGACGTTGATCATGATATTTATCTATATTAGATGAAAAATAAGGGTAAGAATTGATCATAAGATTTATTTCAAATTTATTTATAAATAATTCTTTATATATTAATTAAAATACTATTTCTTAAATTTTAATAATTATCACAATATAATGACCATAGATATTTGAATTCAACATAGCCCACAGCTATTATTTTTAATTTAAGAATTGGTCATTATTGTCATTGCAGATATGTTTTTCATTAATTTTCATATATTAAATAAAATGGTCAATAAATTTACCGACTAAAAAAAAGTACCTAACCATTGTTTCTATTGGACTTCGGAAGAACACTTTTTTTTTTCAAAAGGCAACATATAGAAAATTATAATGTCTATTAATAAAACTTCTATTTTCATATTGAGTAAAAAAATAGTTATAAAAAATAAGGATTTATTTTAAGCTACAAATTAAAATTATGCCCTTTTAAACCACTTTTAGATGTGCAAAATTTTTAAATAGCATTATAAAATCATTGCTTAGGAGTGAAATTTTTTCCATTTCTCTATAAAGAGGATTTTATATCCATCTGTCTATTATATTATATATGTATTTGATAACAAGCAAGCGTAAGATATGTCAGATCCATTTGTATAATCAGTGAGATTACGATAGGTAGCCTGCCGAATTTAAGATGATAACAATGACATATTAGAGCGCTTACCTTCATATTAAAATGAAATTAGAAGTAAGATGATAACAATGACAGATGATAACAATGACATATTAGAGCGCTTACCTTCATATTAAAATGGAATTAGAAATATGAGATTACAAATTATAAAGGATTTCAAAAATCTAAATATCCAAATCTATGGGCAACAGCAGTTAATTGTCAAAAAAATTGGAAGGTCTCTTTTCAATATTAGGATATTATTTTTTCCAAACATATATAGTATGGGTTATGTGTGTGTGTGTGTGTTGTTTTTTTTTTTTTGCATTTTTTCATTTACTCCTAAATAGGGTTCTACTTGATGTTAACCTTATGGGCATAGCATTATGACAATCCTATGGGCTATAAAAATGGCTAATAAGAACTGTGTTGTGAAGAAATTTTGGAGAGAGATTCAAAAAATGAAACCGAAATTATAGAAAGAAAGAATATTGTAATAGTCATGTGTTCATATTCGACCATCATTAATTTATCACTATGCCATGTATAGGTAGGACAGTATGGAATAAGATAGTGCTCATCATACATTCAACTACACAATTTTACAAGAAATTTACCAAAATAACCATGAGAGATGCATTATTTAGCATTTTACACTTTTGGCACTATTCCAACTCAAAATCATGGGGCTTTTTATTAGTATTTTGAAATTAAATCAAATAATGTGAATATAATGTTCAATAGTTCATTTCATTTCGTCATTTTTGATAATTTTCCGAATTTTACGCTCTTCGCCTCCCCCAGCATCCAAGATAGTTGATACCCTCCTCATCATGGAGTTACGATGACCATATAAATCATATTACACATAAATAACTCATTAAAAATGTTTAGTATTGATGCATGTACGGCTTTACCTGTAATAGCATAAAGTCATAAACACATGTTTGTTAAGATTTTCAGTATGGTTTCTCTTTTCATTCCTAAATCTTGAGTGAATGGGCACATCAAATCCGCCTAAAAAATAAGGTCATACTTTACATTGTCATAAACCATATACAACACAAGTGCTCCCTCTAGTATTGTATAAAATGGTGCAACAAAACCTCTATTTCTCTGATGGACTGAGCCGTAACCTTGGGTTTGGGCTTGGGGTTGGTCCCGTGCCTTGTCCTAATTGTTATGGGCTGGGTCATTGAAGCCCATCCTCTGGTTTGAACATGGATTTGAGCTTGTGCTTGTGCGTTCCTAATTTTGTTGGGCAGGTCCTCCATAAAAATCTTGTGGGCTTTCCTCATTGCCGCATCTAGGCCCGGCCCACCATTGATATCAAGGTCCCAGGGGTGGAAATGGATTTGGTCAAATCTAGGTTGACCCCGACCCGACTAGGTATAAGTTGGACCCAGACCCGGGTTGGATCCAAGCGAAATCATCTTAAATTGACCTACCGGGTTGGGTTGTTCCGGGCCTATAAATAAAAAACTTATATAAAAAAAAAAGACTATATATTTTATATGGGCAAGCTTTCTACACTTCCCCTTATTGAGCCATCAGATCTTAATGAACGGCTGAAATGGATCCAATTACAATGTCATGCCTGTATATTGTTTTATTTTTAATATTTTCTCTACAAAATATTTTGAGACCAAATTTTGGATGTCCACTCCTCTATTAAACTCGCACCTTAAAAATATAAAAACAATATTCAGGATAAAATAAAATGACCAAAATACTCTTGAAAGTTTTAAGCGTATTTTGGTTATTTTATTTTATTAAAAATGTTTTTTTTATATTTGTTTTAGGTGCAACCTATTGAGATGATGACATGAGCCAAATTAAATATTCATGTAATTTACATAATAAAAACTAAAAATAAAATACTCTAAAGCATCGAATTTAGATCAAACAGTCAATTGCTTATTCAATCTAAATTAGACGGTCAGATGAGGGAAGTATAGAACTTATATACATTAAGGAAAATATAGAAACCTTTCTTATTTTACATTATATATTTAACAATATTGGCATGTATTTATGCTAAATAATCAAATACATTGGCGTAGGTCGGGTCTGGCTGACCCCCAACCCGACCTGATATTATCTAAGCTCAGGTCAAGTCAAGATCAAGTGGACCACACACGACCCTTTGGGTCCAAAATCTAGGTCCCAGAACAGACCTCATCAGGTCGACTCATAGGGCCCCATGGATCGACCCGACCCGAACCGACCCAATTCCCACCCATAAAGGTCCCTCCTCAGAAGTCTATGGCTAGTAGTTTGGCTTGTTTGAAAGGAATGAACCGTTCAGCGTAGATGAAGACACGAAGGTTCGTTCCGTTGAACTGGAAAAGCGTAAGGTGAAAGATGGTTGGGGAGAACGTTTGGTCGACCTTTGATAAAATCAATGACATTTTTCCACAAGAAAAATGCTTGAAAGAGAGAAGCAGCCAAGTTGAAGAGAGCAACTAACGGTCAATCCCAACACTAACGAATCCTCTCCGCCCTTCAATCTTATATCTCTCTGCTTCTCCTTTGAGCTCGCCATCACTTCCCTTCCTTAGAGATTGCCACTCTCGCAGTGTTCTCAAGTTTCCTCGGTGTACCTGATGTCATTTGCAGGTGAGCATCTCCGCTGTTTACAATTAATTTTTGTGCTGGCAAAAGAGGATGCTACTCGAATGGCTTTGTCTGTCAACTGATTTCGAGCGGAAAGAATTATGACATCTTTGGCGTTATACTGTATAAATTCTTCTAAATTTATGAGGAGATCAATATAAAGGGTTGAATTAACGTTTGAAAAGTAAAATGGAACTTCTAATATGCTGTTTAATTGAGGAAAAATTTGCTCCATTTTTTGGTCTTGTTTATACAGATATGTGTGTATTAAGCCGCCATTCCCTTCAAATTCACCTATGGCATTTTTTACAGGACAACATGTGAGAGAAGATCATGTTTTGAACAATTCCTTGCTTTGTGGTTTCTCATCAACACTCTCAGCATTCGATGCAGGTTAGTGAGCCCCAATGCTTTGCAATTCTTGTATGTAAATACTATTTATATTTGAGGGTGTGCCTGTGTTGTTTTTTTTTCTTTTGGGTAATTTTCAGTAGGGTTAATGGGTTTTGAATTAGTTAGTGGTTTTTAAAGCTGTTAGTGAAAATAAAAGCCACAAAGTGTTGCTAAAATATAAGGTGTGCTACCACCACAACCTCACCCCTACTTGTTTTTGAATTAGTTAGTGTCTGAGTTTGTTTGCCACAAGAAGCACAATGCAGAGAGAGAAGAGGCATATTTTTCTCACTCAAAAAAGGCATGGTGACTCTGGCGTGGTAGCTCTTTCTTGGTCAACTACATTTGATCTTGGTCAACTACATTTGATCTGAGTTTAATAAGAAGAAGCATTGTTGTCCCCTTAATTGTGAAATGTAAAGCTCTAAACATAATGAAAATCGAGCATATATTTCATTTAAAAAAAAGTCGAGCATATCTATAAAAAATTTAAAATTTAAAAAATAAACAGTCTAGATAATACGTTACAAGTTATAATATTTTTATGACTTGATTTTTCTATTTTTTTTATATCCATTCATCTTGAAGTTAGGATGATCAATTCAATTTGAGGGGTTTTTTAGCACCATAATAACCTTTTCTAATGGATTTTTGAAATGAACCTCGCATGACACCTTACAAAAACTTTTCTCTAAAGAAACCTTGTCCTTTTATTACATTGTATAAAGATGCCAAGGATTTTGCCCCAACTCAAGTAATAAGACCCCTCTAAAATGGTATTTGATCTTTTTGAATTTGCTAATTAGATTTTTTCTATTTAGTCAACTAGAAGTTGGGTTTTGCATGCAAAATAGGAATATAACATCCAGGTTGTTTTGGTAATTTTGGGGTTGAGGGCAGAATAGTCATTTGTCATTTTCTTGTGGGCACCAGTGTTTTCAGGGTCGTTTAATCCACCAAACGGCTTCGTTCAGCAGTTAGGACTCGAGAGAGATATCATCAACTGCCAGTCACACCTAACATCCTTCTTACGGGTCTCAACCAAACAATGTCTTATTCCTTACACTAGTGAAATCCAACCATTACCTATGTAAATGTTTCCTATTATTTTAGTTTGGACGCGTTTAGCATGCGGCCAGTTCGCATATTGTAGAAATATTGGCTTGACAATAAATATTTTTTTTAAATGTAATTTAATCTTAATTTTTAGAGAATATATAATCTTTAATATTGAGATCATGAATATAAAAAAGAAAAAAAAAATTGAAAATTAGAAATAACAATTGTATTCAGAAATCTTTTGGACTGTTACTTATAATTGTTTTTAAATTAACTGCCTATTTGCATCTATTTTTAAAATAAATGCTTTATACTTCTTGACTGCATATTATAGAAATGCGGTCCAACTTTGCCTTTAGTTTTATGTCGAAACCTCCCTCCACATGGTGAAACCTTCCGTTATGGATTAATACCTGGCATATTTCCCTGTGATTGAACGTCCACGGACAGCATATCGCTCACCCATTCCCAATACTGACAGTGGATATGAGTTGTAGTTTGAGGACCATGGGCATTTAGATCAGTGTAGGAAAGATCGAGTCGGGCTGATTAATTAGTCATGGACCGAGCCGATAGTAGGGCCAAGTCCGACTTAGTCGGCTGATTAGGGTCAAGTTTTGTAATATTAAAAAAATGGGGTTAAAAGAACCTGGAAAATTTTATAAGAAAATTATAAAAAAAGATAAAATTTTATATGTACTGTTTTGTTTTTTATATTGTCACATAAAATAAGTGAAAAGAAATTATTATGGGCATATTTGGGTTCCGAACAAAATTTTTAGGCACCTGAGGCAATACTTTTTCAGTGAATAAGTAATTAAAAGAAATTACATATTGTACAATAATAAAAAATACTGCTCAAAAGTAGTAAAATTAATGATGGGATTCGGGATTTTCTAGAGTTTTGCTATCAAGGTTGTCTGGAAAAAAAAATCGCTATGAAGCCTAGTGGATTCTATAGGGCAGCAACAATACCTCCTTGCCAAATAAGAATGCTACCTTGTAAACTTTCTAGGCCGTAGTCATCTAGACATTGAAACTATCCATGCTCCTCTCCTCCTTAGCCTATATTTTGTCCCTCATCGGCGTTGTCATTATCCTGAATAATTAGCCTATGGTGCATGCCATTATCCTGAATAATTAGCTTATGGTGCATGTCACCTGTGTGTCTCTGTTCAGGGGTTTAGCTGTTATGCCTAGCTCTCTCAACTTCTTCCCAAACCAATCTAAGCCCCTCTTCTTCCCCAGTGGAGGTCCTAGTACCTTGCGACACCTCGCACTCTATGACTGCGGAAGCCTGCAAAGTCCATTTTTGGACCTGCAAAAAGCTTTTAACATGCTTTTTCCATAACATGGCAGAAATCACCCTATTTTTTTTGATAAGTTGCTGATTAGTTTTGCAAATCGACCGATTAGTGTATAAATTGGCCCATTTGTATTATAAATTGGCTGATTAGTGCACTGTAGGGATATGTCCCAAAAGGTGGCCTATGAAATCAGGAATACGTGGGCCATGCCAGTGCCTGAGTCCAAGTTAATGGGCAAACTTTTCCAACACTGGTTTAGATCGACTTATCAGTAGTTGTATCGTAAGCATAAACATTAATGCCTTGTTAAAATGATAGAAGAAGATCGAAAGTAAGAAAAATGATATTTGGGAACTTTAACAAAAGACCCTAAGTAATGCATTTGTGTAAATTCCAAAGGCAAGGCTATGATGAGTTAGCTGATTCTCTATTCTTATGTGTCCTCCTCCAAAATTTTTAAGGGTGAGAATCTCAACCATAGTGAACATAAATTTGGAACATAAATTTTAAGGGTGAGAATCTCAACCATAGTGAACGTAAATTTTTAAGGGTGAGAATCTCAACCATAGTGAACATAAATTTGGAAAAATAAAAAATAAATAAAAATTCATTATCTTCGATATATATTTTTAAACTGCTCATTTTATATATGGATGGAGATTCTATGAGTCAACTATATCTATTCACTTGTCTCCTTCCAAAATCATATTGCATATGGATTTTGGATCCAAAGTTCTAGGGATTCATAATTATAACGATCATACTATTAAAAAAAAAACATTGTTTTAAAATTTAGAAGTGTGTTCTTTTAGATTTTTTTACACCCTTTCGTTTTAGATTTTAGTCAGGTACCCTCTTTTTAATGTACATCTTAAAGATGGACATTTGATGCTGAGGGAACACATGCATCCCTTGACTGATGGAATACTTTACCTTTAGACTAGTAGGACACTATTAAAGGATAAGGTTTCATTGAGTCGGCTGACTCATCTATTCAAATGTCTCCTGTCTCCAAAATCTATTTAGAGATGGATTTTGGAATTAAGATTTTTGAGAATGAAAATCTCAACCATGATCGGTAGGAATCTAATATAAAAATAAAAATTAAAAGTAGAAAAATGAGATTTCTTTTATATATGATTTTAGCAACGTGGTTTTAAATTTAGGTGGGACCGCCATTTTATGACATCCATCTACAAGGATGTTTATTGCAGCAGGGGACGATATTGTAGAAGTGTCTCTTGACGCACATACTACTTTTCGTTTTTGATATCCATCTCAATGGCGGATATTTAATGCGTTGGGGGACACAGCTGTTTTTAATTGTATCCTCAGCGCATCAAGTACTTTCTCAATTTGTATTGATCTTCGCAGCACAAGTCACTTGTCATAAGTTGTCCAAGAGGCAATTAACCTTCATCACCTATGTCAAAATAACGGTTGGACTTGATGGCCCGACCAATCGAGTTCGGGTCTGGACCCAATGGACTTGACAGGTCGGCACCGGTTGGGCTGGGGTCTGGTGAACTGAACCTGACCTAACTTGACCTTGTATTTATATTGTAAGGTACATATAAATATATAATAACTATGTGCGATAAAATATGTATTATAAAATATATATAGCAATTTGTTATATATTTTTATTTCATGACCCAAACCAGACATGATTTGGTGGGTCGGGCTTAGTTCCAATTGACTAGGACCCGATCTGGGTCTGGGTCATTTCTGGGTCTAACCTAAACCTAGTTAGGTTGGGTCTGGTCCAAGTCGACCCAAACCCATCTAACCGATTCTCAGCCCTGACCAATTTTTCTCATGAGCTATGGGTGTCAAACACTAGTATCTTGCTTTTCAATAAGCGGAAAAGTTTACATAGAGCCAAGGCTCTTAACAATCAAATCTGAGCCTACCTCAAAACTTTCACTAGAAGAGGTTATTTTGATGCCCAAATATCTTCAAATTGATCATCTCGACATCAAGATGCATGGAGATGAGAAAAAAATGCATTTCAAGTTTTGGAAATAGTATATTTTGTAATGCATTTTTGAAGCGTCAATTTTTAATATTTTCAAGTGTTCATAGATTTGTCAATCTACGCTATTTTTTGAAGCTTTAAACTTCATGTATAAATATAAAAATATATTTTAAGGCTATCACAAAGATTTCAAGTATTGAAACCACATTTCTCGATACTATTTGAAAGTAGGCTCTAATTTGATTGTTTAGAGCCCGGGCTTTATACAAACTGCACCCTTTCAATAATGATATCTATACTACAGCCACAATTAAGGGTCGACACAATAAAAAGAGTCTTTATCCTTAAAAAAAATGTACGGTAGATCCCTAGAAATATAAGAAATTATGGGCGACCCAAGCACGAAATTTTCTTATTTTTAAGATATATTAAATCGCATCCCTGTTAGAATAGGGATAAAAGAGACATACATGTACGTGGATATAACAAGTACATAGTGTATGTATGTCAATGCTTTATCTCTCTGACACGCGTTGTTAGGTCTATTTTAGACAAATCTTCCCCACGGAAAGGAATCAAATAGATATCTTTCTTTGATAGAGTAAACATTGATTGGATAGCAGTCTTCAACAACATGAAAGATGCACTACTTTGGA